AAGAAAGTAGATATCTATAAAAGATGATATAATAAAAAGAAGAAAGTAAGGATATGGAGTTTTACTACAATATTAGCTGATTCACCAAATTCTAATACATAATATGCATTTATCAAGTGAGAAATTTGAAACAGATGATGTGGAAAGAATGCACTATGAATAAATCAAGATGATTAGAGAGAAGAAGAAAGTATCACAAGATCGTGAGAAGAGCCATCGTGACTGATGCAGAAGGTCTTTGGTATTTCAAATTAAGAATCTTATGTTCTAAAACTAATAGGGTCATCCCTGGTTACATAAGAAATATATTGAATCAATTCATTAAAAAGAATTGATTCGATCGCAACTTCGAATATGGAATTCAAATGTATCAAATTGGAAATGATACTCTGAATCATAGAAGTATAATGAAATACACGATCAACCAACATTTATCAAATTTGAAAAAGAGTCAGAAGAAATAGTTCGATCTTCTTATTTTTATTTCTCGAACAGAGAGATCCATGAATCAGGATCCTAATGCATATAGAGATACAAATGGTCCAATGGGTCTAGAAAGGTATGATTGGTATTTCAAGTGAGACAAATTTTTTTGAACTAGACATTCTAGGGCATTCTCACTCAAGTGAGATAAGTCTCGCTCAAGCAAGAGAGGATAATATTATCTCAACTGTTCTCTCGCCCAAGCAAAAAGTGGCTTGTCCAGGCAAGGAATCACAAGAAAATGGAGAGTTCTCTAAACCTATTCTCACTCAGGTGAGAATGGCTCAAGGAAGAATATCAGAAAATGTTAGAAAAATTATTGTTTGATTTTCTCGCTCAAGCGAGAATGAGCTCGCTTAGGCGAGAATGATCTCGCTAAAGCGATCGCCCGTTCGCCCAAGTGAGAAATTGCAGGTTTTGAAGGGTATTTAAGGAACTTCACGTACTCCTTCTCAATCTCTCTGTTCTCTCCCTTCCCCTTCTTAGAGAAAACCTCTTCAAACTCTGAATCTCTTTTATATCTGAACACGAATGCCTATTCTACTATAATTCAAGTAAATTTTCAGAGCTTAACTCTTCTATCTCACTCTTATTTTTTTGTTTTCTCTTTTCATAAAGTACTCTACTCTATGATGTTAGGAAGAACTTTGGTCCTTAGATAGTATATCTTGTTAAAACATTGAGCTTTCCTCTAGATCTCACAAAGAACTTAGTCTCATAGACCTATTTACAGACAAAGGGAATTGATCCTAAACCCTAGATTATATATTTATATATATAGGGATAGAATCTTCTTAAACTAATGTAAGTTTAAAACCTCTTATACTTGATCTGAACCTTTCATTTAATTTACATTTTACAGATTATAATTTATTACTTCACTGACCGTTAAATATAAGTTAAATATAAGGCTCAAATTGAGTGTAAAATTTTTTAGATTTACATCAGTGTTAGAAAATTTTTTCCCATATATATATATTATAGTAAAAATTTTAAAAAATAATTTGACACAATATAATGTTTTAAAATAATTTTTTTTAAAAAAATTGAATGTATATATTATAACATTATTACTTTTATTGAACTTATCATGTTTAAAGAACACATCTCACTGTTAAAAATTATAAATAATAAAATAAAAAATTTGTGAATCAGCTTGTCATCAACTCAGTTCCTAACGTTCCTTTCTTAAGTATTATACTTTTCCTTATCCATGACATAACCAGCATAATGAATTGAGGAAAAGTAGACAATTTTTTGCCATCATCTAACAATTTATAATGGATAAATATTTTTCACCTCTTCTTTCACGGTTTATGGCTGCTCAAAAAGAGGAAAAAAGTGCTTAATGAATGAAATTTCTGCCCACGAAAATGAAAAATAAAGTAGATAAAAATATAAACTGAAAAAGGATTGCTATACTTGATAATTCTTATTGTAATCGAAGAAATTAAATTTAAAAATAAAAATGAAAATACATTTTGAATTCATCAATAGCTTTTATTAATCAATTTCAATATTATAAATAAAATTATTTCATTTGATAAATAAAATATACAATAAAACTATTTTCTTTCGTGGTTTGTCATGTGTTTTTTTTTAAATTAAAATTGTTTGAAAATAATGTCTTAATTACATACTTTTATTATAAAAATTTAATTTTTTTTGCCACTTTTTTATTAAATTTATTTAAATTTTAGATATAAAAATTATTACTTAACTTTTTTTATTATTTTATATAAATTTTTGGATTTTTCGTGAATCTCTATATTTATATTTATAAAATTTCTTATTATGTCTTATATGAACTGTCAAATTTTTTACAAATATTTCAATATATAAAATTCATAATACTTAATATATTATTTCTATTATTTTAAAATAGATTATATTTTAAAAATATTAGCATTTTATTAACATTTTATCATCTTAATATATAATATTTTCATTTATTGAATTAAGTTAATATAAGATTTTTTTAAATAATGTTTAAAATAATAATAATAATAATAATAATAATTATTATTATTATTATTATTATATTAAAGTAAAATACATATCAATTGCACAAGTTATTATCTTAGTTTTGTAAAACATTTTAGATAGAAAATTTAAACTATTAGAAATCTGATGATAAAGTAACGAGAAATTTGTATTTAGTGCAAATATTGGGAGTATACAAGTTAATTGGGAACATGAAACATAAAAAAAACTTGGGGGTGTAAAAGTAGCTTGCGCAAGGAGTAAAATAAAATTTAAAATATATATTAATAATATATTTAATATAAAAATAAAAGTAATAGTTATCAGAAAAGCTTCTATTAATTGAAATGTGAAAGACGAGTACAAAGGAAGGTTGGTTCTTTGACAACTATTATATAATTCGAAAAGTTATTTATTAAACTAATATTACTTTAAAATGATTTATTAAAATGAGTAAATTTAACTATGTCTAAAAAGTGTTAGTAAAAAGAATAAGTATCACACCTTAAAATGGGTTAAATGTTAGAGAATACTAAGTGGTGTCCTTAGTCACACAATTTCACATTTTAGTATGATATTCATTTTCTTTTACTTCACACAATAAAAATAAAAAATTTTATGTATTATTTTTTATTTAAATTTATATTTAAGACTCAAATTTTAATAGTTCTTTAACCAAATTTTGAAATTAAAAATACTAATTTTTCCTCTTACAAAAATTCAAGATTTATTTTGAAATTTTATTTTTATTTTAATTTAAACAAAGTTTAAAATTGAAGTTCAAAATTTAATTTTTTGTATTTGACCAAAGTTTGAAATTAAAAATTTCATTTCCTTTCCTGTTTTTAACGATTTTTATAACAAAGATTAAAAATAACCTCTTTTTTTTTTACTATTGCTACAGTTTTTTTTTTATGAAAAACAAAAAATGTTCTAAGAAATCATATGAAGCTTAAAATTTAAATTTCAGATTCAAATTTTAATTTGAGAGAGAACCTTAAATTTGTATTATAAAATACACTATTATTTTTATTTTTTTGCATTACAAAAATATCATTAAATTAAACGAATTTAAAAAGATTAAATGTTTTACTTATAAATAATATAAATTCTAGTATATAAAATAAAAATTAAATTAATATTCAATTTTAAAATATATATATAATATAAAAAATACATGGTATGATAAAAAAAATAACTAGCTCTTAAAAATATTTCCATTTTACAATACTTCTAAAAATAGTCTCCTTTATTTAAAATTTATATAAATATGATTTATTAAAATTAAAAATGTTTTTCCATAACTAATATATTTTACTTATTCTAATATATCATTTTACTCATTAATTTTATAAATTTATAAATTTTAAATATATTTTTTAAAAATAAAAATATTATTTCCATGTGTTTATTCTCATGAAAGTAAAATCAATTAACTAATTTTTTTTTCTTTTTTCCTCTCACTTGATAATTTTTTAATAAAACATGAAGTTGACCAATTCAACTGTTGAATCATCTTATATTAGTTTTATAATTATATAATTCTAATTTTATATAATTTGTTCAATAATAAATATTTTATCTAAAATTTAATTATTTACTTATAGTTAAAAAAAATTTATGTTAAAATAAAGTATTTATTTATTTTGTTTTTTATAATAAATTTTATAAAGTTAGTCTATTTAATAAAAAATTTTAAACTAACGTTAAATTAATCAATTTTTTTCATTTAAAAAAGTTATTAAGTAACATAATTATTTAAGTTTAACATTTAAGGTTAATAGATTATGACGATTTATATATGGTATATATTTACATTAAATGTTAAAATTAAATAATTTTATACAGTTAATGACTTTTTATATAATATAAAATTGATTAATTTAACTGATAAATCATCTTATATTATTTTTGTAATTTTACATATTAAGTTTTATATAATTTAAATATTTATATTTTAAATACATATTTTACATTAAAATAAAATAATATAATAAAGTATCTACTTATTCTGTTTTTCTATTAAATTTTATAAAATTAATTTACATAATAAGAATGTTTAAATTAATTATTGAATTGATTAAGTTTTTATTCTAAAAAAGAATTTAATACTAGTTTCCAAATTATATATATATAGTAATGGCAACAATTTTTGATAAAGACTTTTTAATTATATGACATTTTTATGACATTTATTATAAATTACATAATAAAATATATTTATGATAAATAATTTTAATCATTAATTAAAGTTTATTAGAAATAACTGAAGTGTGAGAGAAAATTATTATACTTTATTATGGTCTATCATTTAACTTATAAAAGAAATATAACAGCAAAAAATATAATAAAGTCTTAAAAAATTATGAATATATCTTTATTTTTAAGTAACAAAAATTAATGATAGAGTATTTTTAATTATATAACATCTTTATGACATTCACTATGAATTATTTTAATCGTCATTTAGTTAACATGATTGGCAATATATGATAGAATTGGACCTTAATTAATGTCGAAGCTAACATAGAAAACTAGGGATCTTGCGGAAGATGATTGGTGGCGAGAAATGCAACATAACTAAGAAACGACATTTGGTCATTGAGATTAGAGAGAGCAGGATCATTGATTTTTTCATCCATCAAAGCGCTGTTGCAATTCACGGGTCCATCACCTGCGACTTTGCAATCATAATTTGCAGTGTCAGGAGACTCAACCAACTCACCAGATGCACTTTCAAATGATCTAACCAATCCATCGTAGAAAAATGTTGAGCATTGTTTAAGAGCTGCAGAAGAAGGCTTTTTCTTCGCTGCTGCAACAAAGTAGTTTTGCCCTTCGGTTGCTCTCTTTATTGCCACCTCTAGGAGGCTCTTACAAAGTGAAAGGTAGTCTTTGGCCCCTGTGATTTTAGGGTAGCCTCCTAGAAATTTCAAGCACCTATTAGCGTTTTCTCCAGCATCTTTGCATACACTTTGATACAACTCGGTGCCTGGTGCTGATGCTGATGGTGATGCAAGAGCTGAAATAAAAATTAAGGAAACGGTGAAGAAGAATGATAACTGTGCTGAGGGATTCATCTTTCTTGTGATTCTATACATTCAAGGCCACTCCAGGATTTGTTCTTTATATAGCCACTCTGAATATCTAGCATTTAATATTGTCATTTCACTTTAAATCTTATCTTTAATTATTTACTTACTTTAAAATATATGATATTTTTATCCTTATTAAATTAAATATTTATTATTTAATTAAATTATATATTTAGTCTTTATAATTAATACATATTTACAAATTTGTTTATGTAATTGAAAAATTATATTAATATTTATACAAGTATTTTGTTACATTTTAATTTTTGTAATTTATATTGTTGTTCTTACATAAAAACAGTAGTTATTTTAAATATAAAAATTAAAACGTATTTTTTTTAAATATAGGGACCAATTTGTAAACATATCAAATATAAAAAACAAATATATATTTTAATTAATTATAATTTTAAAGAAGTTGCATAGTTTGAACTTAACTATTCTAATTAGATATTTGTGCAACTTTTGTAGGGATCAAACACTTAATTACGTTTATATTTTTTATATGATACATTAATTTCTATAATATCTTTGAAAAAAAAATTTATATAAGAAATAAAATATTTATTATATTTGAGATATAACTTTATTACATGAATGAATTTGTGCATTTTTTATCATGATATAAGTAAGTTTTATATATTATATTGACTCAATTTCATTAGTTAGTTTTTTTGCTACTTTCTTTATCAATTAGATTAAAAAAAAACTAGATATTTTTAACTATAATAAAAAGTTTTTATCATTTGATTAGTTTATGAATTTACTAAATTAATAAGTTTTATCAATAAATAAATACAATCTTAGTCATAAATGGTAAGTGACTTAAATCTATGAAATTTTGATATTTTTAAAATTCATGATTCTTTGGCTCATTTTTTATTTCTTCTAGATAAGTTCTCAATTTTTTTTTTTAATTTGTGTTTAAAATATACTTTTAATCTTTATAATTAATACTTATTTATGAATTAGTCAATGCACTTAAAAGTTTTTATATTTTAACTTTTATATAAGTATTTTGTTACATTTTATTCCCTATCATTATAACATGTTTAACATTGACAAGAACAAAAACATATAATTTAATCTTATTCTTCTCTTGTAATGCACTTGTATCTGTGAAGATTTTTTATATTTAAAAGTAAAGATATTTTTTTATAAATAATGTTAGTAATACACTTTTAACATAATTTTTTTTAAAGTATAAGCGAAAGATATTAATTTAAGAGTGAAAAAGAATGAGACCTATATAATATTTATAATGTTTAATAAAATTTAGTCAATAGTGGTGGGTATGTTACAAAGAGTGTTTTTAGCATTACTCTATCTTTTAATGCACTCTTTTCATTTTTTGTTTGTAAGTAATTTCATTATTATTTAATACATTTTATAATTTTAAAAGTATTAAGAGTATATTTGTTTTATTTTAAAAAAATTGTCTTTTTAGAAACAAAAAATAAATATATATTTTATTTTTAAAAAGATAAATTTTTTTAAAAATAGAAACAAATCTCAGCTATTTATATTCTCAATTATTTTTTTTAATTTTTTCAAATTTCTCCCTAATTGAGATAATTAATTTTCAAATTATTTTATGTAATTAATTTTTTGTATAGTTTCCATATAATTTAAAATACTTTAATTTTTTATATTTTTGAATTATATTTAAGGTAAAAAATATTACATATTTATCATATAACACATGAATAAAAATTATTAAATTCATTCAATATTTTATAAATGGAAAAATAATTAAGAAAAATATTTGTTGTTTACATTTAGATTAGATAAAAAAATCATATTAAAATACAAAAAATTATAATTATTATAATACTTTGTCAGGCTATAAAATTGTCTACCATAAAAACTTCATTTTGAAATCGACTTAAATGTATAATGAAAATTATTAAATATATTTTTTATTTAATTATAAATTTAATTTATCATCATCGCATGTTACTCTCCAATCAAAGTTTTAAAGTCAACACTATAAGCGACAAATAAGTTCTTCTTTGAGCATTTAATATAATGTATTCATTGGAACTTGAACTTGAGATCAGATTTTATGGTAAAATAACTATCTATTAGTTTATTCACGTATTCAGTGATATATTTTATTTGTAAAATATTTAGATTTGATCAAGAGTTACTATGTATGGATTTAGTTAGGATTTGATTTTGAGTTAGATCATTTTATTTATATTCTATGAGAACTATGTTTAGAATTTTATTCATATTTTATTATTATAATTAAAGTAGGATTTCATTTGAAATATTATATAGGATTGGATTATAATTTTCTAATATTAGTATTTGGATATGTATCAATAATGACTCACTTGAAAGGAGAAGTAAAAAATAAAACAAATAGAGAAATATATTATTTCTTTAAGTTATTTATTCTCTAGTGGGTGGATTTCCTCTTTGCTTGATGAGTTGAAAAAACAGTTTAGAAATGTATCAAGAATTGTGAAAAGTTGTCCTCATCAAGTTGATGATTCTAATATGTCATTGGATAAAAATTTGTTGATAACTTTTATATTTAAAGTTATGATATATTTAAAGTTTGATTTATATTTAATTTAGACGTTTCAATCTTTGTTTTTGCTTCTTGTGCTATTTTTAATAACTCTTAATAAAATATAACCAAATCCTTAATTAAGATGTTAATAAAATCCTAAATATAATCCCCATAAAATATAAATCAACTAAATTCAAATAAAAACTTAACTAAATCTGTACATATATAGTAACTCTTAATCAAATATGAATAAAACCTTAGTACATTTCCATTTTTTTTTTAAGATAAATTTGCAATGCTCATTATATTTCGGTTTGCTGAAAACCTTATTTGAAGGGTAAAATTTGTAAAACCGAATTTCTCTTCTTTGTTTAAATTTATAAATTATAAAATGAAAAATAAAGATGCTGCATATAATAATAATAATTATAATAATAATAATAGATGAAATATATATTGCTTGAAATATAGAATAGAAAAGGAAACTCTATTTTTCGTTTACCTCACTGCAATCCGCTCCAACTCAGCTGACAGTTATACTCATGAGTCATGATTCAATTGCAATTACTTTTGATTTTATTCCCCTTTTAAAAAGAAAGTAAAAAAGAAAAAGAAAAGTGAAGGTAACAAATAGATAATGACCAAATATTTTTTTTTCACGTAGTAAAATTTTATTAAAAATAATAAAATATTACTGCTCTTGTTTATAAAAAAAACAAATACTTAATTATAAAAAATAATGAAGTATAATTTTATATTTTATTCTAAAAATATTCATAAAATTAAATGTTAGTGTATTATATATTAAATAAATAAATATATCTAATTATACAGGTAAAGAGTGAGTATTTTATTAACATAAATCTTACAATAAATAAAATATAAAAAACTTTAACAATTAATACATCTAAAAAGAGTTACTATTTTTTATAATCAGGACAAAAAATATTAATAATTATTTGTTATAAACAGGAAATGAGAAAAAAAAATTATTTCTTTAATAAAACTGATAATAAAAAAAATGTGAAAGAAAATTAATGAGGCAATATTCAACTCGGTCAAACTAATGTCACAGAAAACTTGCAGTTACTGAAAGAGGAAATGAACAGAGATGCATGTAAAAACTGTGTTCTTGTTTAACCCATATCTCAATTCCTAACCTTAACTGTGGTTAAAGGAACCACAAAATGGGGGTAAAGGAAAACTCAGAGAGAAAAGATCCGAATAATCTATGAATTAATTTGGTATTTCTCTCATTCTTCTAAGATTTTATAGTGGTTTGGCATTCTGAGATATTCACACAACACTCTTTTGTTCTCTGCATATTACTTTCCTGCGTTTTTTTTAAGGCATTCACACTACACAGTCACAATATTGTAAACAACCACCATAGTTCCAGAGCATGTATCGTTTCCCAGGTCTGCTTCTGCTAGTTCTTTTCTTGTTTGTTTATTTGTGTTATTTTTCATTTTAGCTCTTTAAATGATGATAAAGGGATGTGCGCCGAGGAACTCTAATCTGTTGAATCTACGATAATGTTGAAGCATGGATCACATAAGAGATAGGCATAGATTCTGACCAAAAGATAATTCAGCATGCATGGGTTTTTTAAAATTGTATATGTAGTAAATTTTTGCTGTGTTTTAGTGAGAGAGAGAGAGAGAGAGAGAGAGAGAGAGAGAAGCAAAAGCTGAAACTAAAATGTAGTAAATTCAAAAAAAAGCATGAAATTGTGTTCGTCTGGAAAACAAAATAATAATCAAGTTGATTTTTTATATATATAATTTATGTTTTTATTTTATTACCTGTAATCATCTTATTTTACTTTAGGTTTATTATTTTCTTAAATTTGAAAACAACATATCCACTTTCTCAGTCACTGTCCAGGTTCTATTTCTTCGTATATTATTTGAAGAAGTACTAAACGATGTAAAAGGAAATTCGATGAAAACTGTAAATTATGAACTCAACCTTATTTATGTCACTTACCCATCTATCTATATATATAAAACTATTTTAGCCAAAAACATAAATGATGTTGGTTCGTGTTCACCGTAAGCATTGCTCTGTTATTTATCCATGGTGCATGTTCCTAGGCCATATGAAGGTGTACCTAGATAGTTATCTTCCCTATTGCTTTTAAACATTTGGTCAGGTGCTTGGTTTTTTTTTTTTTTTTTCTTTCTAATTCTTAAACAATTTAACTATGTCAACACTTTTATATTTTCACCGTATTATATTGCTTATTATATTTATTAGGATTAAATATAGTTTTTATTCTTTAAATTACATTAAATTTAAATTTTGATTTATAATTTTTGTTTTTTATTCTTACATTTTTTGTAAATCATGGATTATATAGTTCTTCTTACTTATATGGGTATTTTTCTTGACTTTTCTTGTCTTATTTAATTAAATTTTGAATTTTCATGTAATATCTTTTTAATTCGGATAAAACAGCAAAGAAAAAAGTAAATCTACTCTACTTCCCCAAGCCCCCAAGGGGTCTTAGTTACAATTACCAATTTTGAAAGGTTATTGATTGCGCCTAACAACTTATCTTTTGGTTTGTGCGTAGGCAATATTTTCTCGTGAGAAAGAGAAAACCAAGTTTCACAATAGCCATGACTTGCAACCAGCCAAAGAAGCCTCCTCTTTCCTTTTCAACCCTCTTCTTTAAGATTATTTTACAATCAAGTCTGCAAAATGGAAAGCTTGTAGCCATTCTTTCATTCATTTCCTCTTCTTCTATGCAAATTTTTGCATTTATATAATGGAAAAAAAAAAGGATAATTGAATAATAGCTTGTAAATTTTCTTTATATATGCACACTAACAAGAAGTTTTTTCCACTTTGCAGAAGATTCCAAACAAGTTCACTATGGAACATGGGGGTAATCTGCCAAATCCATTGTTTCTCAAGCCTCCAGATGACACTAAATGGGAAGTACACTGGACTAAACATGATGGTGCTATTTGGCTTGAAAAGGGTTGGAAGGAGTTTGCTACATACTACACCTTAAGTCATGGGCATTTGATAGTATTTGAATACCAAGAAACATTTCACTTGGAGGTGCACATATTTGACCAGAGTTGCCTCGAAATTAAATATCCTTTCCATGACACTCAAAATGATCATGACAGCTTTGTTCATGTCACCAATGATACTGTTAAAATTTTGGAAGAGGTGACTCCAACTCAAAACAATAAACTCATATCACCCATATCCATATCATGCCCTCCGCCAAGTAAGAAATTGAGAACAACCACAAGCGGAGTTGTTGGAAGTAGCTCCAATTTGCAACAAATGACTCAATATGTCCAAATCCATAGCAACAAGACTCAGGGCACTAATTTTCAGGAGTCAACATTAGCATCTGTGGGGGAAGTATTAGACGGTATGCATTTCATAATTATATTGTCTTTTTCTTTTCATGGAACATTTGAGTTTTTGAGGTCACCTTTTCATGGTACCATATTGTTCAATGGTTTTTTAGGTAATGTCAATGAGAACCCGAAAATGGAGCAATTGACTTCAAAAATTAATGCAGCTTTAAACGAAGCTGCAACCTTCAAATCTAACAATCCATCTTGCACGGTTGTCTTGAAGCCTTCCTATGTATTTGGACGTTCTTTGGTGAGCTTTTGATGAGTTTTATTTTTATACAATAAGATATATAGTTTAATCTAAACATATTCGTGTTTATATTTTCTAACTTGTAAAAGAAAAAAAATCAGAATATCCCCTCAAAATTTGCAAAGAGATATTTGAAGGAAGAACCAATGGATATCCTGCTTCAATCCTTGGATGGGAGAAGTTGGCTTGTTAATTACAGTCTCGGCAAATTTTACACTGGATGGTCAAATTTTACACTAGATAATCAATTGAATGTGGGAGATGTTTGCCTTCTAGAGCTGATCAAGAGCCAAGAATTAATTTGCTTGAAAGTAAGAATTTTTCGGCTTTCAAATGAAATACATTCCCCTCTATCTACAGGTAATCCAAGTTGGTTGGCTTTTAAACTGTTATCAAGTTTGTGAAAAGTAGTAATGATTGAGATTTTCATACTTTGAAGCAGTTCAAGGAGATGGATTTAATTGCATATACCCTAAGAGAATCCCATATTTTAGAAGCAGAACTTTTATTCCTAAAGAAGGTAAAGAATAATTCTGAGTCCATTTGTGACAGCGTCAAAATGCACATGACTTTTGAATAATGTAAAATGAAAATGTAAATATAGATAATTTACAATTGTCATGCCTTAGGTAGGTGGAAGGAGACTGAAAAAACTTCACAGTCGAGTAGTCCACAATCATTCACAAATGGAGCTATGAAAGAAGCTAAAATGTTCACCTCTGAAAATCCTTATTTTAGATTCAAAATAAAGTCAGATCACAAGCGGGATTACAGACCGGTAAGGTTTTATTTATGCAACAAAGTCATTATCATAGTCATTATTAGACTATGATCCTGCAGTGATGAGAATTTAATTTGATGCAGGTTGTACCAATTGCCTTCATGAGAGATTACTTCAGTAACAAGAAGACTGTGATGTTACAGTTAGGTAATAAGTTATGGCCTGTAAGTTTGCTCCGTTCAATGGGTGTTCCAACGAAGTTGTCTAAGGGTTGGGCCCTATTTGAGAAAGAAAGTAAATTGCTAGTTGGAGACGTTTGCATCTTTGAGCTCATCAACATAGAAGATGCCGTGTTTTATGTTCATATTTTCAGAGGCCAACCTTAGGCACTCTATTTGGAGCCTTTGCTATATAAACATTTGAACTATGATTGAACAGAATTTTAATGATCATAGACATTGTTCTATAGTGTTTAGTATTCTTATTAATATGTGTGAACATTGTTAATGCTCAGCTAAATGTGTACAAATATTGGTTTATTAATTTAAATATAGAATTTAAGAGTTATAATTACATTAATGTGACATTTTTAGCAACTTTATGTAAATATAGGTTTTGAAAAATTGTCAATGGCGCGTTTTGGGGAGTCTGTCATCTTTAATCATGCAATCTACCATAAACAGTGGAGTTGAAGCTTTTACGTGAATGTGGTCTTTTAAAAAACTGCCATGGCAAGTTTTGAGAGATCTACCATGTTCAGTCTTGCCATCTGCCTTGAACAGTGAAATGTGAATGTTGAATAGTAACCTTGCAGAGTGAAGAATCACTAGTGGCGATTTTTCTAAAAGAATCTCTACCATTGTTAGTTGCAACAAGTGAGGAAGAAGCTTTTTAGAATAAGAAACTCGCCATTAACAATTTTTGGAGCTATATAATAACCCTTTTAGCCATAAACTCATGCACGAAGAGAATGTAAAAAAGAGAAATTAGGGCAAAAGAAAGAAGAGGAAACCCACAAAGAAGAAGAGTGGAAATAAAAGAAAAAAGAGAGTTAAAAAAGTAGAAAATATTTTAATATATTACTTTGGTTATGTTATAAAATGAAAATTTAGCGGAGTAGAATACTCATCCTTACGAAATGTTTCCAAGAAATAAAATTAAAAACTAGAGGAAGATTGATTTCATCAACAATCATACTCTCAATAAGATTATAAGAAAGAGTTGTTATAATAATATTTAGATTAATTTAAGGACTGTGATAATTTGATTAAGTTCTATTTTTTTTTATTGAAAAGAGTATGTAAATAATTTTAATATCAATTTGTTTTGAATTTGTTATACTTAGTTAAATTTTTTAGTAATATTGCCAGTTAGCTAATTTAATTATAGTTTACAATATGTTTTAGATTAAAAAAATTACCTTGTTAACCAACAAAATTATTTACAGTTTAAACCTAAATGTTTGCGATATTTATTAAATAGATTATCACGATATAAAATTTTGTTTCCACTCTATTTTTATAAATCTGAAAATATAAAAATTATTTCTTTTAAAATTTTAAACACTTTTAAGTTTTCATAGATAAAATGATAAAATGTAAGTTTTGTCTTTTTTATTTAAGTTTATAAGATATAAAGATAAAAAAATTATTTTAATTTCTTCTTTTGTTATAAATTACTACACGTATTTGAGATTTAAAATTTAAAGATGCTACATAATCTCTACGAAATTAACTAAAAATAAGTAAAAAATATGTTCAAATTCTAAATTGAAGAAAAGTTCTGAAAGTAAAAATATTTTTTAACTTTAGAAGAGAGTAAAAGAGATAAAAAAGGTGAGATAAAAAGTAGTTATTTACCTTTTAATCTGATTAATACTTATTAATCACTTCAATCTATTTTTTAATTATTGTTCTGATTTAATGTATTTATGATACATAGTTTAAATTATTATCTTTAAGAAGAATAATTATTTTGACCAAACGCAATTTCAATAAAAAATGTTAAATATATTTTTATTTTATGTACACTGTTTTTTATTCATTTATTTTATTTTATTTTAACAACGCCTTTAATCACAAGTACTCGTAGATGTTTAAAAATTATTAAATAATTCGATACTGCAGTATGTATATAGTTTAGAATCAAGTTCACCTTTACCCTTGTTTTAGGAAAAAAGATTCCCTCCTGTGATACAAGAGTCATGTTAATGTATTTTTGCATTTTAGAACAAAAATAAAAAAACATAACTCTCATGTTTAAGTTGAAACATAAGGGGATCCTGATCCTTCTTTTGGATGCTAAGCAAGAGGGAGTTGGTCCAAATGTATGTATAAATAACTGCTTCTGACACTGTTGGAACACCGTACAACGCATATCCCAACATCATATCTTCCCATATTTTCGTTTCAGTTGTTACGGGCATTTTTTATTTTTTAAAAAATTGTGATAACAATTTATAATTTTTAATATTTTTTTTAAAAAATTTCTGGTAGCAATTTTTAAAACTTAGTCATTTTTTATTATTTTATCAGTATCTATACAAAAATCATCTGTATCAATTTTTAAATTTCATATTTCTGTAATTTTTTTAAAATATCATATTTTGGTATATATTTTTCAAATTTTACATATAAAAGATTAATCCGTTTTTACAAAGAAGCATGTATTTTCTGCAGTAATGTCAGAAGAATGTAATTTTGAATCCTTTTACTTTTTATTTATTTTAAATAAAATTCAGAAAACAAATAAATAAATAAACTGGGCAACTTTCATCTCTGTCACTACTCATCATCCACTCCTCGCCACGACATCCTTCTTGCTCTCTGTATGTTTGAATTTTTGTTTTTTAGTAAAATGTTTGATTGGGTTTTTGTTTGAAGTTTTAAACTTTTCCTCTTTTATTGTGGTGATTGGCCTTTTTATATAAGTGGGTTCTGCCCTTTGTTGTAGAGAGCATTCTGGTTAGTTTGGGGTGATCATGGACACCAAAGATTGTCTTTGTTTTATATATATACATATATTGTATAACAATAAACGGTGGTCAATGTTGTGACTTGTGATACAAATTGTTAATTTTCTATGCTTGAAGAATATGAAAAACAGTGAATACTTTTGGTAAGATTGCTGAATAGAATCTTACTTGTTTACTTCCCAGATGAATTATTATTCTTACTTTTTCTCCCATTAATCTTCTTTAATATTTTATTCAGTTGAGGAGTAAAATTAAAAAAAAAAAAGGAATGAAACATTAAGGTTGGATTACAGTTATTTCTTTTATTAAACTTATTGAATATTTAAAAATATAAAATTGGTCGTTTTTAAATTTTAAATTTTATATATTCATATTTTTGTTTTGGTAGAAAGATTTACATTAATAAAATCATTGACTCAATTTATTAAAAAAACTAACTTTAATTAGGCACTAATGACATTGAAAGACTCGTTGAAGTTAAACAATATCACTTTATTTATTTATTTAAAGAAAGCAATTCAGTTAATATTTTAAAAAATAAGATTATTGTATTTCCAGTATTATAGACAATCAACTCACTATTTGGTTTATTTGTGCTAAAGATTTGCTCGCGAGAGAGAAGGAGAGAAGCCATGACTTGCAAGCAAAAACATCCGCTTCGCTCTGCAAAACTCCTCTTTAAGATTATTCTACGAACATATCTGCAAGATGGAAAGCTTGCAAGCATTCTTTCCTTTGTTTTTAACCTTTTGTTTTTTCATCTTATTCTTATTTTAAGTGTGGGGAATGGAACTTGATATTTAGTAGCACAAATTAAATTTATACATATAAAAAATCATTTATATCAATGACTGAAATAAAATAAAAAATAAAAAAATATGAATTACTTGTGAATTTTTTTACGCATGCTAACAAAAAGTTCTTTGCACTTTTCAGAAGATTCCAAACAAGTTCAGCGAAAGTACACTGGACTAAATGATTTGGTGGTATTTGGGAGTTTTTTTTACCGTAAAATGACAAAAAAAAACAAATCCTCATATAGACTTATTGTCAATTTTATTACACAAATGGACCTATTTTTGTTGCAATTCAGAATTCGGTCCGAGTTAGATTTTTGTTTTTTTTAATAATAAATAAATATTATTATTTAAATTATATTTATATATTATTATTTTAATAAATATTTATAAATATTTTATTAGTTATATATATTAAAATAAATTTTATTATTTGAATTTTGTTTTTATTTTTATATTATTTAAAAATAAATAAAAATAGTAATAATATTAATTTTAAATGTTTATTAAAATTTATTTGACATATTTAAGATAATAAATAATATTTTTAGAAAAAAATAATAACTAAATTTTTAAAAAATAATTAAATAATAAGTAAATTATTTTAGTTAATTTTTAAAAAATATTTAAAATATTTAAATAATAAGTATATTATTTTACATAACAATGTTAATGTTTAAATAATTTCTACTTAAAGAATACTAAATATATTTTTTAAAATTAAAAAAAAATATTAAATATTATTCTTTTTATTTATTTATTTAAATATGTAATTTTGACTTAATATTTTTAAATATTAGTATGATAAAATGATATTTTGAATAAAAATTTTATTTTAATTAAATTATTTGTTTAAAAATGTTATTATTTAATATTATAATTTTTAATATCCTAAACTCTAAAATTATACTATTATAATTTTGAATAAGTTTTATTTGAAAATAAAAAATTTATTTTTAAAAAGTAAATAAAATATTAAATTATAATTTAATTATTTATAGTTGAGACAAATATTTTGAAATTAAAATTTTCATATTATTAAAGTAACATTGATGAAGACAAAATACATTAATAAAAATGATAACAAATTCATAACAATATTAATAATTAACTATCTCCGTAATGGTGGCCAATTCCACAACGAGGGCGACATCTGTGACGTGGTGAGTTTCGTCGTTGTGGTTGTTGCTCTGGGATTTCAAGATGAACTTGTGGAGGATTTGGATCATCATGAAGGTCTAGTTGTTGGAATGCATTTGATGAATTACCAGGTTCATTAACAAAATCTGGTTAGTAAAGAGACTGCATGTAAGTTTGTGCTGAAGATGGAGTTGTAAAATCAACTCCAAATAAATTTGTAAAAAAATCCTCTGATGTTGTTGCAAATGAATGTATTGTGTTAATTATATTTGCTTTGGCGTAATGTTCAGAGGAATTGATGCAGTCTCGTGGTATGACGGTGTGGAAGTCGTACCCATTTCAAATGTGTTGGTAGTCCTTTATTGTTGGTCGCTCGTCTTGGGATCTTGTAGTAGTTGTGGCACAGATAGAAAATAGATAGAATTAGCAATGTACCATTCCATGTATTCTTGTATGTAACAAAATGGGCCTTGAA